ACAATTATGAACAGCTTTGGGAGTCAGCTGTCTCCCAATATGTTCTAATTATCATTATCAACAATCTATTTTGTCAATATCCCACCCCCTAGCAGAAATGGGGGGAAATGATAACAGAGCAAATTTTTTTATAAATAAATCATTCAAGATATTATTTTAAATAAATAAATGAATAAACAAATAAAAAAGAAAGGCACAAGGAGAAATTGCGATCCTTTTACTTGATCACTTTTAAATATTAGATATAAAATTTTATACAAAATGATTTTTGGCATAAAAGAAAAATCGATAATTTTGACCTATACAATGTATTGTTGGCTATTGCTACAAATATACCTGTGCTACTTATGACTGGTTTTGTGGTCCAGGGTCACATACATACATACATACATACATACATACATACATACATACATACATACATATATACATTTATTTATTTATTTTCCGAAAATGCTATAAAATATTTAACAAAAGAAACATAAATCCAACATGAATACAGAGAGTGCATTTAAAAAAAAAACATACATACATACAGTATGTTTTAAACTAGATTAAAAAAAAATATATATATATTTGTTCTTTTTTTTTTTATCATGGACACTCTTGTTTGACAACAAACCACCTCGGAGAACTTGACCACAGTGAAAAGGAACAAAGAAAGACAACGGAAGGAAAGTAAAAGATGAGCAACTAAAGCGGGAAGCCTATCAGCAGCATATCACAGGAGCTGATGGAGATAATGAGAAGCAAACAGATGCTGAGCATCAAACGCTCAGGCCAGGGAGAGCACGGGCCAGCCCTCATTAAAAACTAGCCAGTGCTGACAGGGGCACTGAGAGAGACAGAGAGCACAGGAGGAAAGGGGACACAGTCCGAGCACCACTACAGTCTAATTTAATTGGACTAGTTAGAGTTTAAGGTCCACACAGACCTGCTTCTGCCCTTCCCCATGTAGAGTAATGAACACAAATCTGTATGTAAAGCAGGTAATCACACAGGTGCTTGAGTGACACTCAACCCAAGAGGACACAAGCCCTATTAAACATACACAAATGCTGAACGAGGCCCTATGGAACATGCTAACAACAGCTCCTGCTCCGTCTATAGTAGGTCATTATAGCCCAAGTCGCTAAGCACCGCGACAGCAGGCAGGACTGATTCGGGGCCACATGTAAAACAGCTCTGGTCCCGTTGCACGGGGTACACTCCCGCTGTTGAGTGGGGAAAAGAAAAATTGGGCCCACCATGTTAACCCACCAAGTCATTATTTCTCCCCCCCCTGAACATATCTATCAATATTTAACATTTGCGCATTGTGAGACAAGTTCATTTACATGAAACCGCGTAGAAAGCGGCAGAAAAGAAGAAAAAAAGAGAACAGGGCGCGAAGCGGGGGACCTTACCTTGACTCTGGAACTGCTGACGGCCTCTTGGTCCCGCAATCTCTCTAGCTCTGCCTGAGAGGCTGAGTGCTGAGCATCTAATTGTTGCCTGGCTTCCTGCAGGGTATGCCTGCCCTCCTCCTCGCACTCCTGCGCCTGCCTCCTTGCTTCCTGCCAGGGAAAAGAGAGCGAGAGACGGTCGCAGTATTGGGATGAAAGGGCGGCAGAGCGGGCAGGGCCAGAGAGGGAAGTTTGGAGCTTACCTGCGTTGGCAGGGCAAGCCGAAGCCCACGCAGGTAGCCTGGCGCAGGGGCCAGCTTTAGCTCTAATGACAGCTCTAATGAGAATAGCTCCACAACAGGCCCATTAGTCCTGCCAGCCTGCCTTTGATGCTGATCTTTCGCTCCTTTCTTTTTTGCCCGCACTATCCTTCCCTCCCTTTGCTAAGAGAGACCCTGAAAAGACACATCCTCCCCAGATCTTCACTTTATCAATTAATCATGCCAGTCCCATCAGAAGGTAATTAAGGAGAAGCCACATCACATACACACTCTTTCCTCTGCTCGGCCATCATTAAGTATTTATTGAGAAAGTTAGTTGCTTTTCCGAGCTACGCTGTCGCTACCACCCCCGCCCTCGCCGCCCCTGCCCCCGACCCGGGATTTTGAGGCCTTAGGCAACTGCCTCCAGGGGCTTGTCAGTTTTTTCCCCCTCCCTCTTTTCCTGGTGTCACAGGCACAGAGGCAGTGCTTTAAAAGTGGTGCTAGTGGAAATTTGTCCAAACCTTAAGTTGTCGACTCTTATTCCCCAGTCTGTGTTGCAGAGCTGCCAGTTCTTTCTTCATTAGACCGCACTCTTCCTCACTGCCACGCAACTGCTGGACTCGGTTGTTTATCTCCTGCTCTTGTACCGTCACTTTCTGTTTAAATAGTCACACAAGTGATCGTGAGAGACAGCCGTTAGTCACAAGCAATCTGGGTATGAGTGTTTACAGGACTGAGAGTTAGGTTTCATTAATAGTTTCTGTAATGGGGTCAGCTGTTGCATTATACGGAGATGGGAAAGCATGTCACAGGCGTTTTGTCCTGTATTGCTAAATGTGGGACACTGGTGCTGGCTGTACTATGATGTTTCAACAGGACATGATAAAGCTAAAAAATTATTCAGTGGTTACATGCTACATTGTTTAAGTAAACGGTTTCTGAAGAAATAATATTGAAAGGCCAAAATCATTGCTGTTTAATTAGCACTTCTCCAATGAGAAGTGTCTCTAGTATCTATTCTGTATGAGCGGATTGTGTGATAGCGTGTAAAAGTGTGGATAAGCTACTATAGGTAAACACGTCAGCAGTGTGGACGCAAGTCCCTGTGCCCAAAAATGATGGTAGAGCAGCAATATGAAAAATTTGTTTGGCTGAAATATTGAGGTGGCTTGTTGCCAAAAAAATTTACTACCGGAGAACACAACGCCCGATATAATTGCCCAAATTGAATTACAAAACTTTATTTACAGTTACAGTATTTTTGGTTAAATGAAAACGTGATACAAAATTCACATCGGGGCATGAATTAGACACAAAACAGTTGTAGTGCCCATGTGTTGAATGTGTGCACACAAGTTCACTGACAATACTCAGAACTAAAAGCAGACTGAAAAATGAAGCATATCACAGGGAAAGTTCACCCAAAACAAAAGTTTTATCATTCCAAACCATAAGACCTTCATTTATCTTTGAAACACAAAGAAAGATATTATGAGAGATTTTTGATTGAAACTGCATTACACCAAAATTCTGAAGTTTCAGAAAGTTCGTAAAGAGATTGCAAATTGTGTGTCAAGCAAGCATGATTGAGCTTCTCTTTACCATATTTGATGAGCTCTATGTAATGCACATTGACCAATGTTTACATCTAAATAAAGACCTAAATTAAATCTGCTCAATGTGACTTTGCTGTAGCCTGGATTTGAACTGCTGGTTTCGTCTGGTCAGAGGGGAACTGGCCCCCCCGACTGAGCCTGGTTTCTCCCAAGGTTTTTTTCTCCATTCTGTCACCGATGGAGTTTTGGTTCCTTGCCTCTGGCTTGCTTAGTTGGGGACACTTCATTTCCAGCGATATCGTCGACTTGATTGCACAGATACTGAACTGAGCTGGATGATGACATCACTGAATTCAATGATGAACTGCCTTTAACTGAAAATTGAGTGTTTACTATTGTCATTTTGCATTATTGACACAATATTTTCCTAATTAATTCTGTACAGTTGCTTTGACACAATCTGTATGGTTAAAAGCACTATATAAATAAAGGTGACTTGACTTGACTTGATAGTGGGACAGCAATTGCTCAGGTTTCAGTAAAAACATTATCCATTTTGTTCTGAAGATGAACAAAATTCTTATGGGATGACATGGAATGACATAAGGGTATATAATTGATGACAGAATTTTCATTTTTGGGTGAACTACCCCCTTGTTCTGTGTTCAGTGCAAATATTCAATATCGTTCACAGTTATCCCTCTTCCATCTCAGTTATTCCGATAATGCGTTCCTATTGCTAGCACTCACTTCAACCGGGTTGTGACAACTCGACACTGATATCTCAAAAAATAACCCTGAGCTGTGGGAGGCAATTAATTGCCATGTTTGGGGAAATCACTTGAATCTTTCTAGATAGAGAACTTATTTTCAGTCTGTGCACCATGCAAATGCAGGTTTTAATAGAGATTTATAGCACAAGTGAAGCTCAATTCAAAATGTTGATAATGAAGTAGGCAAGCACTGTTTCAACCCTAGTACTTCTCAATTGGTAGGAAAAGAGGTTTAAAGAAGTTAAGAGGTCTAGGACAGAGAGATTAGCATTAGAAATCCCCAGCGAAGTTCAAAAATGAAAGCTAATTATGTTACAAAAATGGAAGAAGAGGGGTAATGGAAGGGGGTGGGGTGAGAGGAAAGCTGGTCAAAGTTAGTGTGGAAATGCAGAGATGAGATGAGGATTCAGCAGACCATCACATGGCCAAGGAAGGAAAAAGCAATTAATCACATTTGGATTCGTTTGGTGCAAAATTTGGATGAGACGAATGCCAGTGGTTTTGAGTGGTACCCAGAATTCTGATTATTAATGAGTTTCTCAAACAGGGCACAATGGCCATATTCCACTAACAGGCCAGTGCAACTTAAACCTGACAGAAGAAAAGACTCATTCAAAACTGTAACTTAATTTTTAATCTATTAAAAATATTGCATACTAAAGCATCAACTTCAGAATGTGCACAGTTGGCTCTGAATCTGAAACAAAGCCATTTGTGGCCTTTGTTTCAGATTACACTATATTGAGGAATTGCTGACCAGACATATTAATATACAGGATCAGTATTCAGTTGCTCTGGATATGACAACATGTCTGCCATCTTGGAACGATCATTTCATACAAACCTTCAAACATTTCATATTTATGACTTATATAATGCAGGTCATTTAACCTTCACTGTAACAAACTGCTGTAAAAATTACAGCAATATTTTACAGCAGCAGGCTGTTTTTCTAATAATACAGCATATTGCTATGCATTCTGGGGTCGCGTGACGTTTGGCGCAAATGTACAGCATATTGCTGTAAATTTCAAATCTACAGAGATGGGATCTTCAACGGTTGAGATTCGGGAGCGGCAATAGGAATGATTCACAACTGTGGTAAGTGACTTATTTCAGTTTTTTATTTTTCATGTTTGGTAACTGTAGTAGTATATTAAGGTATCTACATTCACAGTTCATATTGATAACCCCGGATTCACGCATCCTCCGTCCGCGGGGTGCGAGGGAGACTTGCACTGGGTTTCGGGAGCATGGGCGCGGTAGGATTTCACACATTACCCGGCCTCATAGCAGCTATGGGCAGAAAATCTCTGGTATCCTATGTTAAGAATTACATGCTTCAGTGACAATAGTTGATATTCACGGTAACCACGTGTTGATCAGCACACTTTGCCGTGATTATTTGTAATCGAATTTGCAGTAATCTGTTAACACGGAACCGAAATGAAAACGCGTGCTAAAGTCTCGCGACTCACGGTCACCGGCAGCCCGCTCACGGAGGATGTGTGTGCCGTGCTGAACGGTGCTGTTAACTTAACTAGCGAGATGTGTACTTGAGGACCTTTGCTAATTTTCGCATTGTTTGTTTGTAATGCCTCTTTTTAACTTGGGTTAAAAAGAGCCCAACTTCCAACTTCCTGTCTGTCCTTGCCACTCTGTTCGCAGCATACTACATATTCACCCTGGAGTACCAGGAAGAGACAGCCGGTAACTTGGACATTCAAAGGTAATAGTTTAATTCTTACAGTATCAGTAACATGTGTGTGTATATATATTTTTTGAACCAAAATACAGCAAAAGCAGTAATTTTGTGAAATATATATATTTTTTACTATTTAAAATTACTGCTTTCTATTTGAATATATTTTAAAATGTAATTTATTTCTGTAATCAAAGCTGAATTTTCAGCATCATTACTTCAGTCTTCAGTGTCACATGATCCTTCAGAAATCATTCTAATATGTTGATTTGCTGCTCAAGAAACATTTTTATTATTATTATTATAAATATTTAAAACAGTTGAGTAAATTTTTTTCAGGTTTTTTAGATTAATAGAAAGATCTAAAGATCAGCATGTATCTGAAATAAAAAGCTTTTGTAACATTATACACTAAACCAGGGGTCCCCAAACTACGGCCCACGGGCCGAATGTGGCCCACCCGCACATTTGGACCGGCCCTCTGAACAATGCCAGAGACATATTTAGAAAATTTAATTTTAAATATACGGTTTCACTTATATCATGTCTATATTTGATAATAAATATTGGCTTTCAGACTAAAATTTCCCTTATTTATTAACGTAGCCTAATTATTTGTTAAATTCACCTACCAACAGAATGGTACGTTCAACATAACGTACCATCGTGATCGAACAGGTGACGCGCGAACCAGCAAAAAAATTAAAAGAGACGACAAAATGGCCAAACGGTTGGGAAAGAGAAATGTTGATTCAGAATGCATGGTATTTAACCAAAAGTGGACAAGTGATTATTTTTTTGTTCAGTGCAAAGAAGTGGCTGTTTGTCTCATCTGTCAAGAAACAGTGTCTGTGTTCAAAGAATACAATCTGCACCGACAGCTACCCGAAATCAACACCTTTCTTCTGACAAAGGGCAAAACTGTCCCAGAACTGATCGACGCAGAATGGAAATGGGACCTCGCCTTCTTAACAGATGTGACAGAAATGTTGAACTGCCTCAACTTGCAGCACCAAGGCAAGGGGAAACTAATATGTGACATGTATTCCCACATAAAAGCATTTGAGGTGAAACTAGCACTGCTTGTGGGACAAGTGCAAAAGCAAGACTTCACTCATCTCCCCGTTACCCAAAGTCTCTCAACTGAGAAACCAGTGGATCCATTCCCAGCTGAAAAGTCCGTGGAAGCGCTGGAAATGCTGAAGGCGGAGTTTGACGTGCGATTCCGTGAGCTACATGTCCACTCTAAAGAAATCCGCCTTTTCTTTGCTGCCGACATTGATGAAGCCCTGCCTTCTTATCAGTTTGAGTTGGCTGAGTTACAGAACTGTGATGTTCTGAAAGATGCATTTAAGCCCAACGGTCTCCTTGAATTCTATGCTGCCCTCCCTATCAAGACATACCCAAACATCAAAAGGCATGCAATGAAGATGTCTATATGTCTCTTGAAAAGTGATAATTTGTCTGTACGGTGCATAACAAAATAAACTATTCTAGCATTAGGAGGCATAGTAAATCCATTTAAAATCATAATAAAATCTCCACAATAATACTAGTAGTCACTCCGGCCCATGTATTTTTCTGTTACAAACTGACCTGGCCCCCCATTAAAGAAAGGGAAAATTATGTGGCCCTTGCAGAAAAAAGTTTGGGGACCCCTGAGCTTGGGGTCAGTATATTTAAAACCTTATATATAATAATGAAATTATGAAATTATAGAAATTAATACTTTTATTTAACATGGATGCATTAAATTGATCAAAAGTGATGTTAAAGACATTTATGTTACAAAATATTTCTATTTTAGATAAATGCTGTCCTTCTGAACTTTCTAGTCATCAAAGAAACATTTTTTTTTTTGAGCAGCAAATCAGCATATTAGAACGATTTCTGAAGGATCATGTGACACTGAAGACTGGAGTAATGATGCTGAAAATTCAGCTTTGATCACAGAAATAAATTACAGTTTAACAGATATTCAAATAGAAAGCAGTTATTTTAAATAGTAAAAATATTTCACAATATTACTGCTTTTGCTGTATTTACATTTAGTAATTTAGCAGACGCTTTTATCCAAAGCGACTTACAAAAGAGCAATGATATGCAAGTGCCATAACAGTCAGCTTAACGCAGTACACGTAGCAAGTTTTTTTTTTTTTTTTTTTTATTAATTATTTTGGATCAAATAAATGCAGGCTTGGTGAGCAGAAGAGAATTCTTTAAAAAACATTAAAGGTGCCATAGAATGCAAAAATCACTTTTATAAGGTATTTGAACACAGTTGTGCAAGCAGTGTGTGAAAACAACCAGCCTGTAATGGTAAAAATCCACCCACTCATTGTTTTATAAACCCAATAAATCATAAACAGTCTCTCCACACTAGCAGTTCCAGATTTCTCACTACTATGATGTCATACTCGGGGAAAGTCCGGCCCATTTGTGACGCTCTCTGCCCTATTAGCATATACACACAGCCAGTGTTGCCAACTTAGCGACTTTTCAGACCCCCCGGCGACTTTCTTTCCAAATAAGCGACTAGTGTCAAATCTAGTGACTTCTTGGACAAACCTTAGCGAGTCTCTGTGATCGCTGGTACTGACGCAACGGTGCGAGGTCAGCGTGCACACACCTCTCTCTCTGCGTCTGCTCTGCACAGCGAGTGGCTGAGAGGAGCAGCGCCTTCAGTTAAAATAGATATTATGTTGCTTCTCTAATTTTACATGCAAATATAGCCGAAATCACAGCACAGGAATTGTCTTTTTCTTGTCTTTTCTTATGTGCGTTTCATTTCATCAGACGATGGCTCAAATATAAAGCAGGATTTTTGTGCAGATTAACGTCTTGGAAGGGAGAGCTGGTTATGTAGTCTTAAAGGGCCGCATTTCAGTCACTATTTCATATTTATTCTGTTGTCTGACAACAGAAACAGTAATATATATAAATGAAAACAGTTTTATTGAGAATTTGGCTGCATTAAAATACAGTATGTGAGCAGAGAGACAAACCAATGTAAAAAGAATATGCTAATTAGTGTATGACGTGATCTGGCGACATTTAGCGACTTTTCAAACTGGCTTTAGCTACTTTCTATTGAAAGAAGTTGGCAACACTGCACACAGCCCTGAGTGAGAAGCAGCGGTCCGCCATTACTGTTTTCTTGCTGTAGCTGCTAGAGGTACAATGTCAGCGACAAAGAGTCGTTAAAAGTGTAGTGTGTTCGGATGTACCAACGAACATAGGAGTCTCCATAGACCGCTGAGGACACGGTGGTTAAATTTAATTTTCGAAGTAAATGTCCCGGAAAAAAACAGAAAAGTCCTATACGTTTGTGCTAACATTTTACGCCAGACTGCCTCACAAAAGAGGGTCAGTTCAGCGCTGGAGTTGTGCAAAGATTTCTTATGAAAGAGGGATCGATACCAACGCTTCGTGCGCAAATGTCCAGACTCCAGACACAGTAAGCATCACGCCTCATATTTTGTTTTCCAAAAGAGCTTCTTGGCTCTCTGTAAGGCTAATGTTGCTAAAGCTACCATCGTCTCTGCCTATTTTCTCTAATGCTGCCTTCACGTGCTACCATAATGATCGTAAATAGGAATGTGGTAGTTAAAAATTGCATTTGGAAGCAATGTGAGGATCAGTAACACGATAACCACCAGTTAAACCGTAAAATCGGTATGCCGGCGAGCATGAGCGCTTAAAGCTCTGCACTCTTCTGAAAAGGGAGGCGGGAGCTCCAGCTCATTTTCATTTAAAGGGGACAAACACAAAAAACAGCGCGTTTTGGCTCATACCCTAAAAGTGGCAATTTCAACAAGCTATAAAAAATTATCTGTGGAGTATTTTGATATAAAACTTCACATACACACTCTGGGGACATCAGAGAACAATTTAAAATATTGTATCAATGCATTCTATGGCACCTTTAAAAATCTTGCTGTCCAAAAGCTTTTGACTGGTAGAGTACATACAGGTGCATCTCAATAAATTAGAATGTCGTGGAAATGTTAATTTATTTCAGTAATTCAACTCAAATTGTGAAACTCGTGTATTAAATAAAGTCAATGCACACAGACTGAAGTAGTTTAAGTCTTTGGTTCTTTTAATTGTGATGATTTTGGCTCCCATTTAACAAAAACCCACCAATTCACTATCTCAACGAATTAGAATATGGTGATATGCCAATCAGCTAATCAACTCAAAACACCTGCAAAGGTTTCCTGAGCCTTCAAAATGGTCTCTCAGTTTGGTTCACTAGGCTACACAATCATGGGGAAGACTGTTGATCTGACAGTAGTCCAGAAGACAATCATTGACACCCTTCACAAGGAGGGTAAGCCACAAACATTCATTGCCAAAGAAGCTGGCT